CAGGTAGCAAAATGGCTGCAAATCACTGCTAAAATGTTAAATGAACTGTACTTATATAGCGCCTTCCTTGTCTTCCGACCACTCAAAGGGCTGCACACTACGTGCCACATTCACAGAGTGATGGCGAACGTAAAGAAATGCTTCCCTAGACATTCATACACTAATGAACAGCATGGGAGCAATCTGGGCTTCCGTATGTTATCTTGCTCAAGGACAATTCGACATGCATCGGGAGAAACCGGAGAGTCCAGAAGTCCCAGTCTTCTGATTAGTGGATAACCCGCTCTACCTGAGCCACAGCAACCCAACTACCAGTCCCTGTGTGACAACAGGACTAGCAATGTGGGGAATTATCTCACTAATAAGTTAATGGAATTTTTTTCTTACCATTTTGCCGACAGCAGACGGGACAGCCGCTCACACCGTTAAGGAACAGTAGCCTAGTAGTACAGTAAAACAGGATCACGGCGATGGGGTCGACTGTAGATTTCACTTCAGACACAGCACATCTATGACTCGTGTCTGCTGTAATGTGGTTCAGTGTCTGTACTCAGAATGTGGCTTGGACTGAGTTGTGTTATAACCAGAGAACTCTGAGTCTGTCATTATTTCCTGCACAGTTGGAAAATAAAACAAACTTCAGCCTTTTTCTTTCTCTTTCTCTGCTTCTCCTCTGTTCCTCGCTTCCCCCCTTTATCTTCCCCCGCTTTCTTCACCCTTTCTCATTTGTTTCCTTTCTCTTGTATTCTTTTTCAATCTCTCCATGTCCATCCTCTCTCTCTCCCTCTCCCTCTCCCTCTGCCATGATGTGGCAGATCAGAATGAATGAGTCAGAATATTTGGGTGACTAAACCACATGAGAAGCAAACAAAGTCAGCTACTGTACAGCGCCTGCACCAACACACACACACACACACACAAACAGACACACACTGGGATTGGTTTGTTACAGTTTGACTTTAAAGTCACACTCCACCCAAAATCAAACACTCTGTGTCCTTGGGACAGATATTTTGTTTCCTCATTCCTGGAGATCAGCCGCTCCGTTTAACATCACTATCACAAACGTAATAGTATAAAGACGAAAGTTTATACAGTAGCCCATCTGTTCCGAGATACATCTTTAAATAAAAGTCTCACAAATATATAGTTTCATTTATAAGTCTCAATCATTTATAGCCGGGCACTTTACAGCAAACAAATCAAATCATACACATGTTGGGGACTATTTTCTGCAGTGGACGAATCCAAATATGGTGCTCTAGTGAGCACTTCCAACAGCAGGATGTTGTATGTGGGATTGAGTCAAATAAACTACAGATGGCGAAGTTGGTCTGTCGGTCCAGGTTTTTGTCAGATATGAAGGTGAAATGATCTCTGATTGTAAAATAAATATGAATCAGTATGAATCAAATGTAAGAAGCAATAAGATAATAAGAAATAAAGACTAATATCAATTACAATGCAAACACAGACGAACGCCTCAACTGGTGCGTTGAGGCGTTTTAGCAAAGCTCTTTCCCTCCTTCCACCATCTGCATGTTCTAACAGAGTGAGCAGGAAAACAGACTGAGATAATGTTTGTGTTGGTATGTGTGTATTTAGCACAGTTCCTATCAGGCCTCTCCCTGCACTCTTTCATAAAACAACAAGCCTAATCTTTCACTCACTGATGAAATGGCTTTTATGGCATCTGAACAGATCTGTTAGCTGCTATCTGACACACCTGACAGTCATCCACTCTCCTTGACCTACATAGCTGCACTCACACTCACACTCACTACAGCTATCTTATATTACCTAATACAACACTTCACTGATTGGCATTCTTTCTCAAACCCTAAAATAAACTGATCCTAACCTCCATCTACTTTTCGGTTCCTCCTGTAGATATTTGAAAAGTTTAATTTTAGAGTTTAATTCCAGAATAAAGTACTAACCATTCACAAAAACAAATGTATTAGAAATGCATTTTTGCAAACCTCTCAGGCTCATTCACTCCATTTCACTTTAATTTCAAAGTGTCCGACAGGGAGGCTACAACAGATTTTATTTTGGAGGTAACTGTTGTTGCTGTTAATGCACAAGTTTAGGAACATGAATCCATAGTTGACTTGGAAACAACATAGGCTAAACATAAAATGTTTGTGCTGGTTGCCAATCAGTTTTTCTTTTTCTTGTTGTTGAAGTTAGGAGTCATCTGTAGAACTTTAATAACTTTTTGAAGATCGAATCAACTGGAAATTAAGGAAATAACTGAACATGGCAGTTTTGGCTGTTGAACAGGTGCAGGAAACGTTTTTCCGAAAGTGAATTTAAAAGAAACACCTACGCTGCACAGGAACGAGATAACATAGAAACTCTGGAGATTATAACACACACACACACACCTATCTGGCACATGTCCACCTGCTCCACATGCACATTGGGACACATGGGCTGAGCTCAGGTTGCACAACAGTTTCCTGCTGCAGCCTCACACGTTGACCCGAGAAAACATTTACATATCTTTACGCCAGGGAGGGGCTGCCGGGGGCAGGTGACAGGTGTGTGTAGTAAAGCATTTTTGCACAGAATGAGGACTGTGGATTCCTCATGGTGTGGTTTGTTTGTTTGTTTCAGTGAGGATCTGATTGCATTTTGACATGCAAAATTTCTTGATTGTTGATTGTTGTTTATTTTATGTCTTGTTGATTGTTTATTTATGTCTGTTAAATTGTAGAAAATTGATTTTTTATTGCCTGTTTGCACCGTGGGTCCGAGAGGACTGTTTCATCTATGCTGCATGTCGTGCATGTATAGCATACTTGACAATAAAGTTGACTGAACTTGACTTGACTTGACTTGACTCAAGGCTATCCAATGTCCTGCCAGCTTGAGAGAGGGGAGGTGGGATTGGCCTCTCATTCAGAAGATCAATAGGATATATTGATTGACAACTGCACTGCAAATAGTACAAGCTGTTGTTAGTCCACCAGCCATGCTAGCTCCCACAGTTTATACTTACAATATTCGGCACATTACATGGGTGAGTTTTGCCTTCCAAGATCATACCATGAGCTGTACCATTACAGTCCATTTGTGGAAGGAAGGACTCACTTTCACTTGCAGTATGAACAGGTGAAATTAACTTCAAAGGCCCTGCACAGCAGCAGGTGGTGACTCATTCTGCCTAATCCCACTTCTCAGATGTTGAACTATTCTGGAAATCACAAGGTCCACTCTCTCAGTGTGCCAATACCAAGCATTCACCATCTTAATAGGTGCAACAGGAGAGTGCCGGAGATTTCAAATCATGCGAGTCTATACAGTCCCATACAGTCCCGAGCAGAGGTACCTGTGAACCTGTGAGGATGTGCCATGGGTAGGAGAACCTTTAAATCAATATAAGACCAGGTTTAAGAAAGACTAACGGCTCATTTATTACAGTGAGCCAAGACTCCAGCCAAACCTTGCTCCACTTTTGCTCCATGATTCTGCAATGCACTGCATCAGCCAATGCACAAATGGAAGATAACAGATAAAAACTTTCTAGAGTTGTTAAATAGGGACTGCACAGTGTTACACATCAAAGTCTGTTACAATGTCAAAGTCTGTTTACATGTCTTGGGGAGTACTATTGCTTAAAGCCTTCTGTGACTCCAGATAGAGCTGTGTGAAATTTGATGAATTGCCTCAAGTGATGTCACTAGAGTCAGTCTGGGTTTGGAAACAAAATCTGGAGTGAGTTAGAAAGGACTGAGCTTACCAGACCTGTGTAGCTCGCTCCTCATCTCTGCTCTATGACTTGATTAGCCACTAGTTAGCATAACACACCCAAATCTCTTACCAAACAACGGATGGTCAAGTTGCATTGTGGGTAACGTAGGTACCAAGTTGTGGAATAAAATAAAAAAGCTTAGATTTCGTTCTTGGTTTTGCAGAAACCATTTTGATGCTCTTTGTTAAAACTGTCCGTCATCAGTCAGAAGTGCAAAGCTAAATTGGTGGAGCACTCCTTTATAAATCCAGTCTCATTCTATGAACAACCTCTGTGCAGTGTTTTAGCATGCCATAAGCCTTCAGACTCATGGATCTGTTAGTCAAACTGGACAACATGGATCACATTTCATTCTGTAACCAGTGCCTAAAGACAGTGCAGCCCCTTGTGTTACGCAATGCTGTTTCTTGGTCTAAACACCTCGTAGCTAGCTAGCTGTTCTCCCCACGCTGCCATCCCCTAATATCGACCCAAACAAGCCGACCCCCCAAAAAAGCTTTCTGTGATCATTTAAGATCGACACTGCAGTCCCACAATGAAGTACTGTTTCAAATTGTAATCCCTCGACACTTGTTAACCATAAAAAGTAACCGTGTTACTGTAACTGTGCTCACACTGGACCCAATGTATTAACCAACCCAAATAAAGATAGAAACCAAATTTACCACACGGGCGCTTTGTGCAGACTGACAACTGAACAGTTTTAGGTTTCTATTATCAGTTTATTTTGTTGATTTAAACATTTATTGTTTAACTTGTAAAGGCAGCAATGATGCAGCACAGATTTTATTCCATATTCATTCATCTTTTCAAGAGTTTTATCAGCTGTAGTAAACTATATGGATATGTTTCACTATATTTGTTTTATTTTCAATGTTTGAAGTTGTATCATTATGCAATTAAAAAACATTAAACACTACAATTTTCCTGCTTTCCAATCTGGATCTATATTATCACTGTACACGCAATAGATGTGTGTGTGTGTGTGTGTATGCAATAAAACCACAGACTTCCCAAATCTCATTCATTCTTTAATTACATCAATATTTAAAAAAGTGCCGTTTGTCAAGAATAAGATTTGTTTTAAATCCACAAAACTCAAAATGAACAAAGAAAAAAAGACTAAAATAACTTATGATACAATAACAAAAATATTTACATTTTTAAAAAATCTGTACAATATTTAAACCAGAAAAAAACAACATTACAGGCCAGACTGCAGCCAGGTGGAGGTAGGTTGTATCATGCTAAGAAAAGAAAAAAAAAAAATCATCCCTGCTGTCTTGTCAAAACCTCTGAATCTTTACTTCAGGAGGCAGCTCTTTGTGACTGTGAAGCTCTACAAAAAGGAAAAAATTTAAACCAATAATTGGAGACGTTTGGAAGCTTCCCTGAAAAAAAACTAGCTCATAATAGAAGCAGGCGAGGTTTTAACCAGACAGTGACATAATCAAAAAGGAAACAAGGAGTCAACAACAGAATGCATTTCAAGGCAGAACAGGTTTTTACCGCTAAAAACACCCTCTATTCTCATTATTCCTACCGACCAGGGTCTGTTCACCCAGACTCAAGAAGGAAGAACTGCTAACCAAGATATAGGATGCATTTTAAGACATTTGACACTAATAAGCAAATGTTTCCCATTTGCAAATTCAATAGCAAACAGCACATTAATGGATAACATTGGCAATTATTGATAAGAGTACAATGGCATTCAGTTAAACATTCAACCCCATTATTGATATTTCAAACTTCAGATCCAGCCCAAAGACAAGTTCGACAAAACACCTGATAGTAAACGGATACAACAGGCTCCTGGTGAACACGTACAGCCTTAATCTTTTACTTTTTTACCATCTTAAAGTATTACTTGATATCACGGCTCTCTTCAGCGTCTATGTTGTGTCCATGTGGTCAAAAATAAAAGCTCAATGGGCACAAAATGGTGCCAGCGCATCACTTTTTCAAACTTTTTTAAATGGGGAATGTTGGCCAGTGGCCCTCGTTCATGTAACATGTACATGGTCGAAATTTACTTCTACAGTCAACAACATGTTCCGTCATTATAGGTTTAAAGATCCTATAAACTGCAGCTCGATCAGATGTTATGCGACAATCTCGCGGAAAATCTACACCAGTTTGATCAATGAGGGCCACCGATGAATGGACTTTCCACTGGATTCATGGTAAAAATGTAAATTCATACTTGGCAAACTTAACTAAATGTCACAGTATCACTGCTACAGCTTCCTCTAACCAGAACCTTTAAAACAACAATAATAATATTAATATGTTAGGACACCATCAGTCTGTCACTGTTTTGGACATGCAAATGTTATTTAAACGTTTTCTGTCCAGACTTTGGCTGATTTGCTACGATAGCACGGCTCACAGTTCAGTTCACTTTCAAGTTCGGTCTCCTCAAAACCTGAATGTTGTTTAATATGGCTACCTTTGAGTTTAAACAATTTATTAATGAAAAATACTTAATACACAAAAGTAATTTATATATTTTCAAACTAGAGGACACACACGCACACACGCACACTCTGAAGAGAGCGAGCTGGCGGTGAACTGAACTGAGGCCGAGCACTGCTATGTGTACAGTATCAACCCCGGTCTATACAGTACTGTCATTGACACACATTAACCTGATAACAGAGTGGTGTAGGGCCCATGGGTCCGCCTGAGGCCAACAGGGCTGGAAGCACACTGAAGAACCTCTTCTTGTTAAAATAGCATTTAATTGGAATTTAACTGGAATCAACAGAAATGCAGTGGACCAAATAACTTCTAAGCCACCATCACACACCTGTGGAGGGATCACTGGATAGTATGGCTATAAGACATCCTGAAACCACAATATTCAAGTTTCATTCAACTGCTGAGCTGATGTGGCTTCCAGTTATTTGACCCAACAGGTGCTGTGTCATTTTCCCCCTTCGCCATTTGGCATCCCCAAAGTACGGACTCCCAAATGGGATGAAATAAACAATAACAAAGAGCTACAGATCATTCAGTGTGCATCCAGCCAAAAAAAACAACAAATAAAAATCTGCTCGCTCTGTCCTCGTTCCAACTTTAAAAACCTCCTACTCTCTACAACAGTCAGCAGTCAAGGCATGAGAATGATCAATTCTGAGGCAATGAGTGTGTTGTGTTTGTCCATAGTTGCAATGTCTTTACAGTCCAGAGATATTGTTACCATAAAGTCCTTGAAATTTCAAACTTTGTGCGTTCTTTTCAGCATGACACGCCATCCTTTATCCCCGCCCGTCTCTCTGTATTTGTACAAAGTCTCTTCCCTTATCCACCCTCGCCCCCCACCCAAATTGTCTCTAAACATCTAAAACTGTAGCCCATCGTTCGCCCCTGGTCCATTAGCTGCTGAGCCGCTTCAGCTTGGCTTTCAGCTCTTCCTGTTTGGCTCGAAGTTTGTCCTTCTTGGACTGCAGTCTGTGGCCCTCATCCTCCAGGCCGTAGATGCAATCTCGCGCCTTCTTCAGGATTACAACCTTGGACGCCTTGTCGTTGTGCGACAGCTCCGGCACGTTGTCGCGCAGGCGCATGAAGCAGTTCTTCAGCTCGTTGCGCCGCTGCCGTTCCATCACGTTGTGCGTCCGCCGCCGCTCCTC